TTTCACGTCATATTTTTTAGTAGGATTTTCATGTCACGTTATTAAAGTTTTAAAGTACTTTTTCAATTAAATATATTAGTTACACAGTATAAAAATGATCGTCACTTTATATCACGTTTAGTGATAGTATCGAAAGTCCACTATGCTGTTATAACCAGCCTTTTCTATTTTAAAACAATTGAAAATATGCTGTTGCACAGCATAAAAAAGATCTGCATTCAATTTTATCACTATGTGATAAACGAATGTCCATTATGCTGGGTTAATGAAATGATAAACATCCCTAAAAGTAAATTATCAGGAATTATCCTTTATAAAATAAAATAGTTACACACAACACGAAACCTCGTGAGTTATCTTTGATTATATCTTTCGTTCTAGATACTGAAAAAGAAAAGTGGCTTATCTTAATGAATCCTAAAATAGACTCATTTTTCTTTAAGCGGGGGATCCATCGCTTTTTTTTAATGTATAAATAGAATTAACAATATCCTTTAAAAATAATAAACTAAAAAAAAAGGAAATTGTATAGATACAAATTGTTTTGGGCATTTTTCCACTTGAAAAACCATCTCGAGAATTATATTGAAACTCCTATTTCGCTTACCCTTGTTAATAAAGAATTCCGTCAAATTTGCACCAGTTCTGTAGCAAATTCGACTTGCACTTTGACTGATTTTGGAAGGATTCATATCTTCCCCTCAATTTTACTAACGAAAACTTTTATTACAGTTAGTTGCTGTTGTAGAATCCTTATCTTAAAAGCAAGTCTATCTAAATATTTTGTTTAAAGATTATTCAATATGGTCAATATGATGAAGATTTGACTAAATTAAAATTACAAGATAACGATAACAATTCCCAAGAAATAGATCAAGAAAATTTAAAGCCTTACAAAGACTCATGGTATCGGACATATCATTTGATGTATTCATCGCTGTATCAAAACAAGATTTGGAACAAATTCGGCTCTGAAAGAGAAAAAATTTCATTTATGCAACTGTCCATTAATCAAGCATCAAGAATAATTAAAAGTAAGCATTTATCAATAAAGGATTCACACCATTTCCTCCAATGAATATTTCAGAAAGAATACAAATCTCTTTCAAATTTATTCGAATGATTTGCAATCAGATATTAATAATAATTGGATTGTTTCTCTCTCATTGATATCTTTTTCTTCCCCGTAGTGGTAGTAATAATAGGGAACAATTGTATATAGATAATAAATATAATGATATTATTTTTGTTAATATGAAATTATAAAAGGAACAGTGATCAGTGTTGTGATCAGAAACTCTTTTGGCTTCCCGAAACGTTTCGGAAAATGAACTCACACTAAGCAGAAAACTAAAACTAAAACTAAAACTAAACCGAAACATAAACTATTAACCTAAACTAGTTTCGGGTGGTTTCTGTTAGTTTTTGTTTCGGGTTTTCCCTAAACTCAGAGTTTCGGGTCACAACACTGACAGTGATATATATATATAAGATCTTATTTATAATTAATAAATGAAAAACTATCAGATGGATAACAATAATGTAGGGTATTAACATTGTAGATATTTTAAACATGGCTTCTAATGATGATATTGATCCAAGAGATGGACATATGTAATTGCTCAGAAGTTAATGATTTAGATGAACATGATGTTATAACCATAATTTTGAAAATAATTGAGAATCTGACAAAAAAAGAAAGAGCAAGAAAAAAAACGGTCAAGTCATGTCAGAAAATATTTATCACCGCTAATAATGGACATCAGTGTCAAATTGTCTAACCAGAATAATTAAAACAAGTCGGTGGATCAAACGAGTCAAACGAATCGTTCAAATGAGAAATCTAGATCAATGGCAAGCTTAAGAAATGAAAATTTTCAATATCATTGCCTTTTAGAACCAAATCTATTCCAAATCTTGCTTCAGCCTCGTTTAATAAAGCAATGAATACATCAAATTGTATGTTGATGACCATGGAGTCTCTATACCTTTTGAAAAGTTTTAAAATTTTTCTTGGTCCATTTCTCGAGAATTGTTGTTATTATCTTGTAGTTTTAATCTAACCAAATCTTCATCATATTGGACATATTGTAGTAACAATCTTTGAATAAATATCTATACATATATACTGCTTTTAATGCTAATGAACATTTTATCAACATCAACTGTAATAAAATTTTCTCTAGCAAAACGGAAAAGAATAACACGAGAATCCTTCCAAAATTATCCAAAGCTCAATCAACGGGCTGGTGCAAGTTGACAAAATTCTTTATTAACAAGAGACAAGTAAAATAGAAGTTTCTCTATTAACATACCCGAATATTTCGACAAGTAATTCTGTACAGTGCTATTATTACTATTACTATGACTGTTGATTGCTTATAAAATATCAAAACAAAAAGGTTTTATTATTCATGACTCAAGCTTCAAAACTTATCGGCTAGTCTTAAACTAAAAATTGGCTGAGCCTTGGAAATTCCGAATTTTATTATACACTTAGAAAATTGTGACCAAGTAAATTTCATTTTACGTCCTTTTTGTATTAATGAATTAATAAATAAAATTTTTTTATTATTATAAAAGAAAATTAATACATAGCTGAGGTGGTAAAATCCAATATGGATCACATGATATTTAAAAAATTAACGCAGGATTTTCCATATTAAAGATGAAAAGAAAAAATACATTTTATCTTGTTTCATTGCTCAACCATAAATGGTTTTTTTAATGGCTGGACTAAAAATATTTTAAACCATCATCATCATTTTATTTTAATAGATTATACATGTTAAAAAACAAAATTGATGATAACAAATTATAAAAAACTGTGTTATTGATATGGGACAGTTAGTTTTGAATGGAAAAATTCCTACAGGATTATTTGTAGAAAGGCAGTGGTATTTTATATTAGCATGTCCGTCAATATGTTCAATCTTGAAAAGGATAATAAATATTGCCCTTATCCGAATGTTTCTAAACCTACAATAACTAAAATACATATTTATATTTTAGAAATTTTAAATTTTTTTATTCAAGATTTTGGTATTTTTAACTTTTCTAAAACATCGTTTTCAAAGTTTCCACTGTTTCTATTGAAAAGCCCTCGTATGTTAGTTAAGTCGTTACTAAACTAGGGCTTACCTTACACCAACAGCCCTGACATACACTTTTTTATTACAACCTCACTTTTGAGGGATTTGGGATTCTGATTAGAAATCAAAGAAATCTTGTTTTTTGGAAATTATGGTTATGTTTCACAATTGTTATTAATTCTCTTTGTTTATTTATTATATATATTGCATATACCAGTTAATATCCTCAAAATATCGAATTCAAAATTCAAATATATATATATATATATATATATTACCATAAACGATTCATAAATTTTACACTTGCTTCATAACCCAAGAATGCAGCTGCGTTAGCAGGAAAAGCTCTAAGCAAAGCAGGACTAAGTCCTTTAAATAGTGCAGATGGTCCATCATGTTTGAGTAAATGACGCAACACATCCAATGAACCTTTATATGTGCCGGCTGGTGCTGATTGCAACCTTGATTTTATTACATCTGGTGGAATTGCAATTGACCACATTGCAACTCCAGCCATACCTACAAAACATTATTATATTATATTATATTATATATATATAAATAATATTAAAAAATGATGGTAATAAATAATAGTAATACTTTACCACCAGCAAATAAAGTAGCGAGCGGGTTTAATGAATTAGATCCTTTAGGTGTTAACAATCGTTTAGTCAACTCATAAGCACCAAAATAAACAGCAGTACCAGGTACATCACGTAGTAAGGTGGCACCTGCACCTCTATAGATGCTAGAAATACCCCCTTCCCGATATAATGCTTTAATTACATCCGATGGACCTCTATATTTTGTTTGTGAGGTGGCTTGTCCTTGCACTTGTAATAACACTTTAATTCTTTCCACTGGTGACATCACTAAAGTTGTTGGTACCGCTGAAATAGCACCTGCTGCCATTATCTCAACAAGACTTAAATCTTGTGATTGACGATTTGGTGTCAATGAGTACATTATTTTCTTTCCAAGATTATAAGACTATATATTTTAAATGTATTGATTGTAAATACATTAATTGATCAGTATTTGATTGGCAATTAATTGATTAATTATAAATCTGTTATTACCCAAAAACTTATAGCAAAAATTGGTGTTACTCCCGCAAGTGGTGGACCCATACCTCTGTATATTCTGCAATGATTAATATTAATATTATTAATATTATCATTATAATATCGTTGATAAAATTCATCCCACACTTGAATAATAATTTTTCAAACTTACCCGCGCAGTCCATCCATTTTAATTGTTTGTTTTACTACATCCATCATTCCTTTATAAGCTCCCTCTGGGGCTGTTTGCAATCTTACCTTTTATTTTTAAAAATATACATTTAGCGGTGTGAATATATTTTCATGCTCACAATCATAATCGTCTTTATCATTCATTCATTACCTTGATTAAATCAAAAGGATGACCTAATAACAATAAACATCAATTGATTTCAGAAATAAAATAAAAATATAAAATATAAAATATAAAAGAAAACCAACCGACCAACAATCACACAAGAAACACCACCACAACCTCCAGCGATAAAGGACTTTAAGCCACTTATTGTTTGTTTCTTATCATCTTTAGTTGTTGTGGTTGTTGTGGTTGAAGTGCTTGTTGTTGTTGCTGTTGAATCTGACATTTTAATTTTATATTAATTAAATTAAATTATTAAAAAAGAATTATTATGGTTATTGTTTTTATGTACGATATTAACTGCATCATCTATAAAACATGCTAAGCCACCTGATAAGATTAGGCCGTTCAAAAAAAAAAAATAAGAAATTTTTACCCTCCTCCCCTTCATAAAAAATGATGTTAAACAGATTTCTAAATTTGAACGGCCCTATAAATAATTAAACAAATCTCTAACTTTTGGCTAGTTCATTGATTAATTATAAAAATTGTTTATTCTAAAGAAATTCCACCAGTAAAATGAGAAAAAAATACGTTTGAAGTTCTGGAATGTAATGGATATATTGATATATAATGAATGTCTTTACGATTAGTTATAGTCACGATAAATGTTCTTTATATATATAGTAAAATCTTCTGTAAATCGCATAGAGATCGACGGCGAAACAATAATAATGATTAAGATGACAAACCCATTCTTATTTTAGAGAATTAATGATGGATATACCAGCCAAGTTTTCCATTACAATTCAACAATGTTTCTTTTTTAACAGTTGGTTCATAGTGGTCTTCATAACAAATATCAATAATGAAAAAGTATGATTTTCTTTTTGATTATTTTTGATTCAAAATTATGCAGTACAATCTTAATGCCAAAATCTATATTTGATGGACGACAATAATTTATTAGAAAAACAAAAGATATTTCATGGTTACAGACACTTTTCAAATCCAATTGATAAGACTCTATATTGAAGAATATTATTTTATTGCAAGTGTAAGATGACGGGCAAAATAAGAAAACATGGATTCTTCCGTGTTAATCAATGATAACAAATAAAATCATTCAGAGAATGGTATCACCAAAAAAAACCAAATATCACAAATGAATCAGATGAATCAAGAAATATGATTTGTTCTGAAAAATTATGTTGCTAGTGAGCTAAAGTTTTGCGAGAACAAACTAGAGAAAATGGTTTAAAGAAAATTTGAGTTCACCTGATAAAAATTCCTCTATGTGACATGATTAACTTTATAATTGATACTGAATGATGATATCAGGAAAACAAGGAAGTTACGTAGTAACGTTATTCAGGGTAGACTGGGGATTAGATCCTTTGTAACTATGCAAGAGTTTTCTTTAGATAGATTGACCCATAAAGTCTTTTTTAAACAATGTACAAACGACGAAAAGAAAAGAAAAAAGAATTAAATAGGTAGATTTAAATGGTTAGATTTATTATTTTTAGATTTTTCGAACGAAAACTTTTTTTATTATTGATATTTTTTCAAGGCCCTCCCTCCATCATCTTGTAAGTATTAATTATAATACATGCATTATTATTAAGATTTATGTTAAACCTAATTTATTAAAAACGATATTAATTGTTAATTTTTCAATTAATTTGATCATTTAGTTTAGGTTTAATCTCAAAGAGCAAATGAAATTCGCCGAAACGCATGCTTATCAATTATTAAAGGAATCAAGCAGATCAATGGTTATGCTAAATGACTTGTCATTTACACGTTCAAAAAAATTTTCTAAAGTGTTTTTTGTTAGAGGTGCACAGATAAGAGATTAGTATTTAGATTAAACGTTGACTGATTTTATTATATATAATATGTAAAAAACTTTCCTGAAACAATTACCGTATTTTCCAATTGCGATTCAACTCTTTTATTAGGAAAGTTGCATCTAGAAACTTATGTTGGTGCGTCTTAATATCCTGAAGCCGGCTATAGTTATAGACGTGATAAATTTACTTTAAATTGAGATATGAGGTTTTGACACTACAAAAACATGTGTACTATTGCATGATCAATTAACAAACTGGAAATATGCTTCGTAAGTGACATCGCAAATTATTACATATGTAAATTTCTATCAAGTAAAAAATGGACTGGGTCCATTGAGACCAAACGAGTTTAAAATGTTCAACAGACCGGTATCATGACCAACACAATATGAAAAAAAATTAGTACGATCATTAACACATATTGGCACACCGTCCTTGTTGGCAAGAAGGCACCATAATATCTAAAAAGATACTATTGCATTGAGATAAAATCGAAAATTGTGCTGAGATATAGGCAATCTCTAAATGTTAGGTAGAAAGTGAAAGTATCATATCAGAATTTACATATGCAAGTCTGGTGGAAGAATAGTCACGATTCTAATAGAGGTTGTATGACTTTAAGCGGTGAAAATTTTCAAAGGCCATACGAAAATTATAGGTAAGGCTTGTATGACTAGTTGGACTATTTGTAGATATAACATTAAGTCATATGAAGGTTTTTATAAATCATATGGCGGCCTAAATCTTTGTAACCAAAATTTTTTTCGAAAAAAATAAAAACAAAAATAAAAAAATCAGCTTGAAAATATATCAGATCACATGATCTATAATTATTTCATAACAAGGATTAATGTATTCCAACTACTTCTTGTGGTGTAAATGAATTGTAATGTCTCCTCCTGCCAAATTTTCACATGAAAAATACCGTTGTGATGCTGGAAGACAAATCTTAATAGAAATATATGATAAATTATCTAAAAATCCTATTACTATTATTACTCTTAGAATAACCGTGAAATAATTTGACCACATTTGCAAATAACTTTTTTAGCATTGACAAATTCTTGAAAATTATGGTATGTAGTGAGATGGTTGATGTGAATCTTTTTACTATTTTTACTATTACTACTTTTTTTTTTAGTATGATAATAGAGAAATGAAAAAATGTCACATTATAATTAATAAAAAAATTTAATATTTGCGGATTATTCGTTAATGAATGTTTATAAACAAGCAAACAAATAATAATATTAATAAACGAATAAAAACTCAACAAGCACCTTGATCTGTACTATAGTCATCAATTTATTCCTTATTCATGTTAATTGCTACGTTTCTGCATGGTTACAATCACTACGCTTCAACATCGTAAATAATAATTCCATTAATATTAAAATAGAAATAAAAATAGTGATCACGTGACAATATATAAAATGGGATTTTTTAATTTCCTTGTTTTCATTCTTTCAACTTTCTCTAGTATCGAACAAAGATTCCTTTAATAAAGTAACAAACCTGAATTCCTTATTTCGGCCAACTCGTTTAACAAGATCTGATTCCATGGTATGCTTTTTGATTATATAAATTTTTTTTCTTCACAAGTTAGTATGTGAAAAAAGTGACAACTAATAAAAAAAACTAGAGACGGTTTTACTGTATTATAAAGTCCACATTATTTCATGTCGCAAAAGTAATATTTTTAGCTAGATTTATACAGGTAAAAAAACGAATTCATTTTCTTTTTAAAACGAAAATAAATTTACATAATTTGTAGGACAAAATTAATTAACAAGCATTTGTGGATTTCTCGTTTCCCACCTTTTAATGATAACTGTAAAAAGATGCTAAAATTAAAATGACATATGAATTGTACACGCTCATTGATCTCAATCAGACACTTATGTTGCAAAAATAATTAAGGCAACATTTACTAACAATGAGCAAACCGCTCTGAATAAATAATCTTTGATCCAGAATATTTGTCACCAAAGCTTGATACTTTGCACTTTTGCAGAAATGACAGGAAGCATATCATCATCGTCGTCATCATCGTCATCATCATTATTTCGTCATATGGCGGTCATTTTAAAATAATAATTTAATACCTTAATACCTTTTATCATGTTGTTTGATAAAATGCAAATGAAATTGTTTTTCACATTAACATATTATTGCATGGATTTTCAATACCGTTTATTATCACTTTTTTGGTTTTAAAAAACAGGAACATTGCTCAATGCCTCCAAAAATTTCCTGGAGACAAACAGCTAAATTATCATTATTAACTACATCATTTATCATTTTGACAATTGAGTCCTTCGTCTCATTACCCAATTTTACAAGGTAGCCTCTTTTATTGTCATCTGCAGAGAGTTTTGGAACAAAGTCTGGTTTTTTTCCTTGTAATGAGATATCAATTTTTCTTTTTCTAATTACTAATACCTACAAGGATTCGTTTGCCCTGACGAGGCAAATAGTGATATCAGTTATTTAAAAGCACTGTTTTAGCCAAAAAATTTTTTGCAAGGACTTACCAAACGTTGTTTTCGGATCTTTAAAAACAGATTTGACCCAGTTAAAAAGAATCTTCATTTGATTTGCATCAGATAAATCAAAACCTTATTTGGTGATCCTATGGCATACGGAACTTGCTATATGCCATATGCAGTATGCTGTATTAGTGTTGTAACCCTCAAGTGTTCATACGTTTGCACCCTTGAGTATAACATCTGAAAATAATATGTATTACAACTTGAGTGCAATGTTATTATATGGGAGGCAGAAATGAAATTCTTACCTTGGAAATTTCATTGCATTTTAATAAACAATTAATATTTAAGTCTTCTTGGGATAATCTAGCTTTAGTTGATTCATAATTCCTGTCCATAAATGCTGATTTATTATCTGACCATCGTTAACAGAATCCTCAAGTGTACTTCTGTCATCACGCTCATGGGTATAAGAGTAATTCACTCAGCGCTACCTCCTTTGTCCTCAGCAGGTCATCGAATAACGATGTGAATGCATTTTGTCATCACTTTGATAGGCCCTCAAATACCTTGATCAATTATCTCATGACCTGACAATTTAGGCATCTCAAAAAGAATACACATGTGCGAAATGTGGTTTTTCTTTCTGATTTAATAGACATGTCAAATGCAATCCATTAGCAACAATAAAGCAAACACATTGTGCAATTTGTCGGACAATATATCAAAACTATCTGATTGTTTATCAAGTTTACCGAATACAACAGAATTACGTATGAAAAGAGAATTATATTTTAGATTTAAAAACTATCTGTGATAATCGAAATTATGAACACATTATCAACCCAAAGACTAACCGAGGCATTAAAGTTGATGGGCTCAGATATATGCAACTAGTTATTTTGTTAACAATAGCAATCTTATAACCCAACACAAGAATGTAAAGCAGCAGAATCATGCCTCAAGGCACACATAGGAGAAAAGGACAAAAGATAACTTCCTTGATTATGTAATCATGGTTTCATTCTACGTTACATTTTGCAAATTTTTGTACTTTTTATTAGGCAATCGCTCACTTTCATTTTGCTTTCTTCATTATTTTTCTTTTTTTTATAAGTGATTTTTCTTCCTTGGATAATCATTAAGCATTTGGGCATCACTTGTTTTAAAACACAGGGGGTAATCTTCTCTCCTTGTTCTTTTTTCAATATGTGCTGTAATTTTTGGGATCTTGGATAATTGTTTTGTAATAAATTCACAAAAAAAAATAACAATGCTTCTTAACAAATATAAAACATAAAAGCAATATCAAAGAGAAAGGCTGTGATAATACTAAAGATGGAAACCACAATTAGCCACAATTCCGATTTTCATATGTTGTAATTCAATATGCCACAATTAGTGAACAAAATTTCCACTTTGTACCACTGAGGTTATTTTTAAAAATCACATGATTTTGGTATTCGTGTGCAATTTAGTGTATTTAATACAGTGATATATATACGTACAAATCAAACACACACATTCCTTTTCTTTTACACTACAAGAATAGATTTTCTTATTTCCTTTTATCACATTAGATCACATTATCACACATATATTACCAAATATGATTGTTATTAGGGTAGGTGATGATGAAAAGTTTATATAGATGAAATTGTTGTCATTCAATTTATAATTTTAAAATTTCCCTCCTTTTGAAAATTTTTTTTATCAAACGACAATTAATTAACCAACAATACCTTCATATAGCTAAATTAATAAACAATTGTTTCTTTATTGTTAAATATATTTTTCCTTGGTCACATTCCAACTTGAAGAAGTCGTTGGCATATAAAAAGTCGAGAGAATCTGGTGAGGGAGGAAAACTTTGTTTATATTGTGATTTCCTGATTTCTTTAGAATCAACAATCTAAATTATTCTCTTCATATACTGTGTGTATATATATATATATTTATATATATTATTTTTGGAGGTACATATTACGCAATTAGACTTATATATATTATTATTTAAAAGACTTTCAAAAATAAATATTAAATATTAATTAAAAGAATAAATTAAAAAAGATGGATAATAATGGCTTTTCAACAGAATTTCTTGATGAATCACAAGTTTTACATGCTTCTTTCCGAGTGGCGGCGGAATCAGTAACACAACTTTATAAAACAGCCTTTCAGCAAAAAAATATTGGATATGAACAATGTTTAAAAGATTTATTGGAGTTTATCGAATCTCATCCAAATGTTCAGCAAAGACAACAATTAGGAACTGACGGACGTGATGCTATCATATCGGTTGATGATTTGATAAAATTTATGCATCTCAAAAAAGAACAACTCTCTTCTTTATCAAGAAGATCTCGTGACGAATCTTCAACTGCTCGTCAACAACAACAACAGCAACAATTCATTCATCAAAATCAAAATCAAAATCAAAGTCAAAATCAAAATCAAAATCAAGATCAAAATCACCATCATCAGCATCAGCATCATCATCAGCAGCAGCAGCAGCAGCAGCAACAACAACCATCACAACCATTAACAACTTCACAGCAAAATAATCAATCAACAGAATCCCAATTTCAAATTTCAAATCAACAAATATTTGAAGGCGTCCAAAATAATTTCAATTTTCCAGTTCCTTTATCAAACACTACTGATAATAATAATCAAAATATTCAACATGAAATAGATAGATTGGTGCCAAGTCAAGATGATAGTGTTAGTTTTTTAAATAGCAATGATTCATTGAAAAGAAGATATAATCATAACAATGGGGAAATAAATTTTTTAGGAAGACAAATTACTTTGGACTCTTCTTTATATGAACCTTCTCATAAAAAAGGAAGATTTAGAAAAGATGAATCATAATATTAGTATTAATAATTAATTTTATTAGTAATTGTATTATTATTATTTTTTTTTAAATAAAACCAAATAAATAATAATGAGGCTAGATCATAAAATTAATTCTCATTATTCATTTAATGATAAGTTTCATTGTAAGTATTACGGTTTTTAGATGTATTTGCTTTCATACTTGAAAACAATAATATTAATATATATTTTTTTTTAATTCTAAAAATTACAGATTTTACCCTTTTTCTTCCTTTCTCACTCATTCACTCATTCACTTCACTCCACGCACATTTTTATCATCAATTTAGGAATTGGGATTAATTGGTTGATTAAAATTTGTTAGCAGAATTATTTAGTTGGTAATGAGATTTGAATTGTTTAATATTTTTTATAAATAAATCTTGCATGTTTTTTAAAAAAAAGATTTTCTTTTTTTTAATCATTAATAAATTAACAGTTTGTGATTCCAAAATTGAATGATTTTATTTCATTTTTCAAATATATTCGATTAATGCACGATTGATACATTGTTAATGTCCCATAGTCTTTTTTTACCTCCAATTTTTCACCTTAAATTATTTCATCTAATGAATTATAACTTAGAGTGCGACGATCGTCTGCTAATCTTGAATAGCCGTAATTGTTATTATTTTGACCAAATATTAATTCATTAATTCTATTATTTCCATAAATTACGAATTGTAACACTATTACACCATCAACTGATAATTGTATAATGCCGCAAATAATGAATTGAATAGGTGCTGTTGTAAAAATATAATAGAATGTTTTAAATGAATCTCCAATAAACCAGGTTACAAGAATCCAGCGACTAAAATTAATTAAATGTGATTTGATATTTGATTTGATGTTGATAAAAAGTAATTACAGAGATTAAGTGGTTGTTGAGATATAATTTATAAAAAGTTCGAGTTTTTACCTGAATCCCGAGACGGATTTGTATTTAAAATTTACTAATGCTTGAGGCATTGGAACTGTGCTTTCAATACCAAGTGACTAAAATTATGTTTAAAACAGTTGAAATTATTAATTAAAAACAAATAATAAAGAAAAGAAGGAAGAAATAAAAATAGGAATTCATTTACCAAATATCCCAATATTTCTATGAATACACCATCTTTATCAAATAAAAAATAAAAAATCCCTAAAATTCCAGTTAATGATAATAAAAATATTATATATGATCCGTACTGATACCAATTCCAAAACCATCTTCGATTCGATGTTGGTGGAATTGGATATTGATATACCAAGCATTGATGTAAAAGAATGAGTTGAACAATAATCATTAAAATACTTTGATACAATAATACTATATCAAATTTTTTACCAAGCCTAAAAAATAAATTCATCATATATACATATATATATATATATCAAAAATCGACTTCAGCAGCATAATAAATTAAATCTAATATATTTAATTTTTTTATATAAATTTACCAAAAAAATATTCGAACAATGCTACAAGAAGAAAAAATATTTATTATTATTATTTTATATATTACCATATCCATTAAATTATCATTAACATTCTTAATAAAATATTTCTTACTTGCAAACTAATAAAACACCTGTAGTATCTAAGGAATATCCAAGGCTAGATTTGCGAGCTCTAAATTTTGCTATTTGATCAAAATATCCCAAGACAGGGCCAATCACCATTGAGATTTCAAGAAGTATTTTAAAAATATCCTCGCCCTCCATATTTGTTTATTTCTCTTTCTTTCCTTTACGTGTATAAATTTTAAAATTTTTAACTTTTTTTAAAAAAGAAAAAGAAGACTATGGGGCAAGTTTAATTTATATCTATCTATACCTATCTAATATCTTTTTTTTTTATTATCATTTACAGTCTTATTTGTTTATTATTTATTTATTTGTTTTATTTATTTATTATTTATTTACATATTTAGTCGATGGAGATCGCATATCATTACTAAGCAAAGAACTTCCCCAAAAAAATACTTTCAAACGACTGTTAAAACAAGAAGTAACTTAACTTTTAGTTATTCTACAACAGTTGAAAGTATTGCTTTCGTTGAAGATTTTCTTGCGACTACATAGCAGTGGAAGTAAGCAAAAAACATTATGAATATTAAGGTGTGTTCTATAAAGTTTGTTGTGAACTATTCAAAGATTAGACTAGAACGTTTTTGGCTAAGCAATTGAAATTTCAATAAACGTAAGATCTTTCAATGATTAAATATTAATATCAGTTATATCTGATAATTTAAAGATCGACGCTATTTTCTGAATTTTACACCATCCACGACCGCTTTATAAGTGTAAATCATATTCAATTAATATTAATATATGCACATTCAGAATTTTTACGATTTGAATAACTAAAATCTTAAAGGATAAAGTTGCGGAGAGAGTTAATATGCAGGCGAAAGGCATGCATTTTTATTGTTGAGAATGTCAATGATGGAAGTAAGTATTTTAGTTAAAAATAATTCTTTTGATAAATCAATACGATTGATTAGTCTTTAATTATTTTAAAGATGTAATTGTTGGTAGTATTAGAAAATAGTAAAGATTTTGACAATTTCCATAATGGTGATGATAATTATGATATTTAAAAAGCTGAAAAAATTTTAATTATTTTAAAAGGAGGAGAGTTTTTAAGGCACATTTTTCGATTTGTTAACCAAAAAGATATAAAAGACTCCTTTGTTAATGTTCGTTGAGATTCTACTGCCAATTGCTTTTTTGTAACCCCTTAACCCCTAGATTTATATATTTTATAACCTATATATATATATAATAGCACTTTGAAATTTTTAAAAATAAACATGAATTTTAGAAACAGAACAACAAATAATAATGGCAACAACAATAATCACAACAGTGATGATAATAATCATTCAAAGCTTGTATTAGATGCAATAAATCATATAGAACAAAAGGCAGTTTAATCTGGGAAAAGATCATTTGTTATTCCATGTAGCAAGGACATGATTAACTATATACACTTTTTACTCAATTCATTATATGAAACATTAATATGTACACATGGATGTCAAAAGAATTTCAAATTTATTAATATATAAATTTTACCATTTATAATAATAAGAGATTTTTCGACTAATTAACCCATTTGATTTATTATATGAAACATTAATATGTAATATGATAATGATACTATACATGGAATTTCAAAAGGTAGTTGTTCTATAATAATTGTTAATGATTTATATGTTTTTTATTATTGGATAAATATAGTAAAAAAAAAAAAAAAACATAGAAAACTTGTATGTTTTTTGACAACTAACCCACATTTTACTTAGCAAAATACAAACTTCGTGAACCTTGTTATGTTTGTAAATATTTTGTATATATAGATGTTTTATCAGAGTTGGAACAAATTGGAGCGAGGTTGCAATAGAAAATTCAACTTTTGTAGCATTTACTCCTGAAATTAAATGTGTTAAATATATTTTTGAGCAAAGGTAAAATCTATTTTTTTTATTAAATAAATTTTTTATTAATAAATTTTTATTAAAAATCAAATTTTATGAAACAATCGATAAAGACAAAAATAATTCAAATTAAAACACTTGCATTCAAAATTATAAAATGCAGATCTTTCACTGAAGCTATAGTTGGCTCAGTCTAAAGACCTCCTAAATTTTGAGCAAATTTTAAAAGTATAGAAGTCATTTTCTGTCCTACATTTTAAAAAAATAG